TATATAGCTACCTGAAAATGTAGGTAAATGAATAGGGTGTAAACGTATCACATTGTTTGTGAGATTAATGGGTTGTGGAATCCCCTGTGTATTCTGTCTCAAACCAATGGTGGGAATTTGGTCTGCAATAATATCTTTGGCCTGACTTATGGCTTTATAGAACTTATTTTCATCTTCTTCACGCTCTTCAAATTCAGATTGATCAGCTAGTTCCAAATTTGAATGTACTATATCATATCCATTAAAGAAAACTTGTATTTTTTCAAGCCTGGTGTTAATTTTCGTAATATTTGATCTATTTTTGGATTCCATTATGAAATCATAAAATCGTTCTACACAAGTTATGATTTTTGCCCGTCTGGTACGTAAATTTTTTCGTTCAAATTTGGTATCCATATTTTCTGGCACTGACATTGTGATTGTATTGTTATTAGCCCAGAGCATAAAAATAAATAAATAAACCAAAAGAAAACAAATATAAATACATAGGGTTGTCCAAAAAAAAAAAACAGAAATTTGTTTTTGAGTTGTAACTTTTTTTTTTGTTGGCCAATTTCCTTTTGTTTTGGCTTGTTTGAAAGAGAAATGAACAGGCTAACGAATCAAAGTAAAACTTTTGACATTTGAAAATAAATCAAAATGGCGGACTTCTTCAAAAATTGCCTAGTTTTGGATAGCGCTGGAACTTTTTTGTGACACCCTGTATACCTTTTTTCAATACATTCTTAAAGTTCATCATTTTGCGAAGATTTTAAGACCTCGACAGAAAAAAATCTGTTAAAAACTAAGTGAAATATTGAAATTTTTGTAATATCGAATTTCATTTTTCCATATTGACAGCAAAATCTACGATAGGCTATTTTAGCTAGATTTTTTTTTTCTACTCGACATATTCTTTCTATTTCGGGCTTGTTCGGAAGATAAGTAGATAGGGTAAAGATTCGAGATAAAGATTTTGACTGTTGAGAAAAAATTAGACATCCCAGTTTTTTTTAAGATAGTCAATTTTGAAAAAGTTAACGATAAGTTTTCTAACAATACGACTAATATTTTTGTTTAGAAATCTTAAAACATTAAGAAAACATATCAAAAAGGCGATATGCCCTCCGTGAGCCTCAACAACCCATTCTAAACATCACTGTTTACGCCAAGAATCGACAGAGTTGGCAATGTTACGTTGTTCCAGTTCTCTTCAACACTCAATGATTCGGTTGCGCAGCTCTTCTAAACTATTGAACGTAGCCCCATTTCTGTGGACTCTTTCTTCTGAGTCCCCCATAGAAAGTAGTCGCAGGGATTCAAATCTGGGTTATTAGGCGTCCAGTCAACGGGCTCTATGAAATCCGCAACTTGCTCTCTTAGATAGTTGATAGTAAAGCGGCTATTATGACACCTGGCTCCATCCTACTAACAGTATTTATCACCTTTATCTCATAAAAAGAGAATTACGAAAACGTACAATTTTATCAAAGTTTTTGTGAGAACCAAAATCTTAACAATAAATGTTGACTAGGTAAGTTATAGAATTACCTGCATAAAAATGTAGTCTGGTGTGAGCCATTCAATTTCGGGTAGATCTGATTGGTTTGTGATTTCTGTAAGAACAGAAATTCGTTGTTTATCATATTTCTTTTTGACCCTTTTGACAACACAATTTGAAAGGGTTAGGTTAGGGGGCGCCAGAAATGAACTTTGCCTAGGTATATAATAGCTATTGGACCGGCCCTGCGTAGATGTTGCAGTTTAACATGGGTTGTTGAGTTGAGACTCACGGAGGGCATATCGCCCCTTTAATATGTTTTTTCATTTTTTTAAGACTTATAAACATAAATATTAGCCGTATTGTTAAAAAACTTATCGTTAACTTTTTCAAAATTGTCTATGTTAAAGGAATTGGGATATCTTTATTTTTTTCTCAACAGTCAAAATCTTTATTCGAATCGTTACCCTATATATCTATTTATCTTTCGAACAAGCCTGAAATAGAAAGAATATGTCGAGTAGAAAAAAAGTTCTAGGTAAAATAGCATATCGTAGACAAAAAAGTTCCAGCGCTATCCAAAACTTGGCAATTTTTGATGAAGTCCGCCATTTTGAATGTTTTTCAAATGTCAAAAGTTGTACTTTGATTCGTTAGTCTGTGCATTTCTCTTTCAAACAAGCCAAAACAAAAGCAAATAGGTCAGCAAAAAAAACTAACAACTCAAAAACAAAACTGTTTTTTTTTTGGACAACCCTATTATATTATATAGGGTGGGCTTAAAAAAAAAACGGAATTTTGTTTTAGAACTGTAACTTGTTTTGTCGTTGAGCAATTTCCTTATGTTTTGGCTTGTTTGAAAGAGAATTGAACAGGCTAATGAATCAAAGTGGAACTTTTGTCATTTGAGAAGAATGGCGGACTTCTCCATAAATTACCTAGTTTTGGATAGCACTCGAACTTTTTTGTGACCCCTTGTATAACTTTTTCTAATAAATTCTAAAAGTTCATCATTTTGCGAACATTTTAAGACCTCAACAGGAAAAATCGGTTGAAAACTAAGTGAAATATTGAAATTTTTGTAATATCGAATATCACTTTTTATATCCAAAACTAGGTAATTTTTGAAGAAGTCCGCAGTCCGCCATTTTGAATTTTTCTCAAATTTCAAAAGTTTCACTTTGATTCGTTAGCCTGTTCAATTCTCTTCCAAACAAGCCGAAACAAATTGGTCAACAACAAAAAAAGTTACAGCTCAAAAACAAAATACTGGCTTTTTTGAGCCCACCCTATATATTTTATTTTGACCTTACCTACCACGCCATCTAGCGGCGGACGGTTGTATTTATTGTTATTGAATAGTATAGGAATCTGTAAGCACTTGTGAATACTCGTTTTGAAAATTGGATTTCGAAGGACTGTTTGACTTGTAAAAAACTCGAAATTGTGGCTCGTAAAAAAAGTCGTGTCCACCTTACCTTTGGAGATGGCGGAGTGTCCTCTCTCTTTGGTCCGGGCTGATTTCCTTCTTGTAATTTGACAGTTCAGGACCGTACTTGATAGATTTGATTGTAAATTTTATTGAACAATATTCCAGGCACAACTGCAGACCATCGAGCTTGACGCGAAAAAGTTGCTGAAAATTGGAAATGCGACAAACGCAAAAGTCGATAAAAATATTCATAGCCGTTTCCACCAACTATTTTAGCTCCTTAACGATAAATATTCCTTAAACTAACATTTCTCCATGGAAGTCATTTTAAGGAATACTTATCGTTTAGGGTCCCCTAAAATAGTTGGTGGAAACGGCCATTACTGATAGCCAAGCTGCGCCGAAAGCACTGGTATCCATACACTATAATTGATTATATTATATTGAAAACAGTATGGAACTGCAAACCCTGAATCAGCTAAGGAATAATAACAACGTTTCTGGCTGGATACCAGGATATGCCGAACAAGCAGGTAACGAAAAGCGGATCAACTTGCGAAAGCTGGATCTGAGCTTAACTTCATTGCACCGGATTCCGGAACCAGTACTGGAGATACTGAGATAGGTAGCTCTAAATATGGCCATCCACGCAATCTCGGCCTGGGCTAATAAAGACGCCAAACAATACTGGGCGAGGTGGCCAGGTATGAACCATGCAAAACCCTTTGGACCCACCACAAAAAGGAAAAAAGTGGCGTACACATTTCTGGGAATGGGTAAGAGCCCTGGTGGGTCTGTACACTGCACACTTCATCATATGCACAAGATCGGAATGGCACAAGGTGCTGAGTATCGCCTGTGCATGGTAGGAACTGCAGAACATGTCCATACATGCTGTATTCGGGAAATCATCTTCCCCCACACTCGTTTCCACCTTCATCGGAAGAGCTGGTCTGGATGGGGGAAATATAACCTTAGATTGAGCCATAATAGACCGCAGGCCGACATCGGACCACTCACAGAATACCTAGACCTGAACTTAAATTAAGTAAAAAGTTAGTACCTAAGTGATTCTGCTTAGTTAAATTGACTAAGTCTGGACAGTGTCCTGAAAAAACGATTGTAATTGAGTTGTGTTTGACTCAGATTACTTTTCAGCTTAACTATTTTCATCTCCGGGGAGAAAAATCTCAGACAAAAAGCGCAACGTCTTGGAGAAAATTAATGCTACTGATTGGGACGAAATGGGCATTTAAAGAGAAATTGCCGAGAACAGTGAGAGCAGTTTTCAAGGCAACTGCAAATTAACAATAATAAGGAGCCAGTGTTGACTAGAGAAGGCAAAGCCCTCACAGTTGCTTGCGATAGAGTTTAGTAAGGACCTTCGATCCTGCTCTATCGCCTGGCAAATTAAAATCAGCTTCTTAGTCCAAGAATTGAACTGGATGCAGAAACCATCAGAGAATTATATCAGCACGAAGGACCTATTTCCATAAAAATAGTTTTATTTGAAAATAAGTATGAAACAAGTTCCTCACAAGTTAAAAAAAGACCAACTTTCCTATTGCGGCTTTCGCTCATTTCAATGATTGAAAAGAAAAACAGAAGGACGTATCCAAAAAAGGACTTACGTTTAAGGCATTATAAGCTCAATGGGATTTGTTGAGTACCGAGGAAAATTTTGTAACAACCCAACCCAGCTAGTCATATCTCAACCTAAGATTACCCCACTATTGAAAGAATAACATGATGGAACATCAGCCGCCCATTTAGCGCGTTTAAACAAATTGCGATTGATGTAACTGACTTTCTTCTAAAGCAAACAACATTTACAGACCCGCAAGCGCTAGTAGACAAGGTGCTCAGCAGATTTAGCATTGCCCTGGAACTACAACCTATCAAAAATGAAACTAAATTTTTTTTCCAAAAACGAGATGCAGTAAGCTTAAGTACTTGAAGCAATAATTGAAGAAGGTTGTAGATAAAAGCCAAAAAGTTTGAGACGAATACATGTTGTTGATAGCATATCAAGCAAAAATTGTTGATAATATAATGGTCTATTATACTGAACAAAATTATTTTTTATAGAATCCCCATACAATCGAGAAGCTGTTACCAGTCATGTTTTGGATTTATGGTGGGTCTTTTCGCGAGGGTTCCGCTGATATATATGGTCCAGACTATCTGATGGAGAAAGATGTTGTTGTTGTGACTTTTAATTATCGACTTGGTGTATTTGGTAAGTAGATTTCCATTGTTTGCATAATAATGGTTAAAACAAATGTCAAAACCCTTTAAGAGCTTCTAATGTTGTTTATTTTATTTCTGTGTCTCTGAGAGTATAATAATTATATTGCGCTTAGATTTTTTTTTAGGATAATTTTTTTGTTTTGTTAGGATTTTTAAGTACGCAAGATAGAAATCTACCAGGCAACTACGGCATGAAAGACATCATTCTTGCCTTAAAATGGACGAAGAGAAATATAAGGAAATTTGGTGGTGATCCCGATAAGGTGACCATAGCTGGCGAAAGCGCAGGGGCAGCTGCAGTCGGTTACCTTCTAATGTCAAAACAATCGAAAAATTTGTTTAGTCAAGCTTTGATGCAAAGCGGTAGTCCTTTATGTCCGTGGGCGTTGAATCAAAACGCCAGAAAGGTTAGTAAGCTTAACTAGTTTCTATGAACCGAGGGTCAGAAGTAGGTAATCAAAGTTGTATTGTCGAGAATCCAGCGAACTGTATTTATTTTTCACTGTTACCAATTTTAGTCCGGGAAATGACACATTAGATCAGTAGTCCGGTAATGTAACCTTAGATACCTACCGGGCTCCTATCAAATGACAGAGGTTGCAAAAATAACGTTCTATCAGAAATATGAACAACATATTCAATAAAAAATACATCTAACAGTATAAAATAAGTATAGACAATGGAATTAAATAATATACTAGACGATACACACTGAAGTTATTATTAATGTATCTACTCCTTAATTAGCCCTTAATTAGCCACTTCTACTATTTCAAGAACAGTAGTGCACTGTATAACATATGGTCATGAGATTTTTCGTCATTGCTGTCAAATAATTATTAGGTATTGTATCTTGTATCCAGAAAAATTTAATTTTTTGACATTAAGGGACAGACAGAAGCAAATAGATTGGGTATTTTTCGTTTTCCCCTATAAAATCATTACTTTCCTGGGCACCTAAATTAAATATCACAGCCCCGTGTCAAGACACCTGCCGGTCAATGTTTGCAAAGTAACACTTTTATCAAAGAGAAAATGGCAATATATTCTACCTACATCAGAATAGCAAGCATTGCATAGAATAATTTGGAATTCGAACCTTAGACTTTTAGTTTGCACATTGAGTTTTTTATTGCTTAATTAATATATTCATAAATTTAAAGTAGGTACCTTAATTGTTTTGCACTCAACATTTAATTTTCATTATAAATTGCTTTATTATTCTAGGTTGCTTTCGACTTAGGACTATCATTAGGCATAAACACAAACAGTTCAGCTGCTCTCTTACATTTTTTAAGAACTGTAGATCTTCCGAACGCACATCAGGCAATGATAAGGGTAAATGTTTTGGTGAGTATTTTTGATCAAGTACAAATAAATATATTCTTTTTAAAATAATTAAAGTGCTAAAAGCAGAATTCCTTTGAACCTTCAATGATGTCATGGTTGCGCATTGATAATTACCAATTATTAATTGTAATTGCTTAAACATAATTATGCTTAACATGATTGAGGTAGTTATTTAATATGTTTTGGTCAACTTTGCTATTGAATTGGAAAAAAAAAAATCTTGATAAGCCCTTGAATCTATTGCTTATTATAGTTAATTTGAAAACCTTCGACGCCCATTATTTCCAAAATCGTATTTTCTTCATAAATGGGCGAACCAATCATGCAAACTGATTTTCCTGACTCTTCGACAGATGACAGAGACTGACTGGCCAGACGAGAAGTCTGCAGCCGACCTACTTGGCCTGGCAGAGAGACTGGCAAATTGCCAGCAAAGACAAAATACCAACAAAATACCAATGGCATATAGCAGATCTATGCTTCTAAACCTCCAAATCGGCATCAGGCATTGACGACGTACGTCCATCTAGTCCTTCTTCTTTGAAATTGTTATAACAGTTGTTTTCAAAAGCAACCTACAAAAACGTTTAGAAAACTTCCATTTCATGGAAAACATAACTTTGCGGACATAGGCGAAACGTTTCTTGAATGTGCTCACTGGTGAATTAGAAAACGTCCCTGGCTATTACTTTTTATGAAAACCTACTTTTGCAGACATAGACAGACTAAACATTCTTGTTAAAGGTTTCTGATACGACTCAAGTAAAACCTCTAAAAAACTTCCTTTTATGACTTTTTAAAAATATTTTGACATAGAAAATTAAAGAAAAAAAAACTTTCACACACACACGGCTAGAACCAAATAAACTTTTATACTGAACGTTTTTCTCTTACGACAAAAAAAAACCGATTTAAGTGGTTGGTCAATTTATAACCAATAATCTACTTTCATGATATTTGAAAAAACCAGATACCTAGCTCAAATTTACAAAAAATACTACCAGGACACTGAGATACTAAGGATTTTCAAAGTGATGCACCGATCCCTTTATCGATTTTAAGTTTTAAAGGTGATGACAAGTTGAAAGAGGTTTAAAAAGATTCTCCAATTGCAACCGAGTAAAAGAAATGCTCCATTTTAATTTGATCTTCTTTTAGAACTTCCCAGACTCCTATAACAATGGTGGTCCTTTTGGGCCTGTAATAGAACCAGAAAGCGAAGATGCTTTCCTAACCGAAGACAGTTACAGGGCGTACAAAAATGGCGATTTCCATAAAGTACCTGTTCTTTTAGGAATCAATTCACAAGAAAGCAAATTTTTATATTCACGTGAGTTTTCAATAATTTAATTCTAGCATTAATAAGCAAAGATATTTCTATTAGTAATCACTACGTTACGCCCAATTTTATTTCTCTACGATATCAGTCCGAGTTTGCTAGTACGTACTGCCATGAACATCAGTTCAATAGAAGACAAGAGGATTGTGGGTACCAAAATAAAACAGCACTATTTCAAATCGGAAAGCTTTGTCAGTGCAACTGATGTGGAACTTGCTGAAGTGAGTTTTTTTATTGTATTTGTTATTCATTTTAATTTTTTCAAGTTTTTCAGTGACGATCTTTTTGTTCGCCCGATCACAAAAACTGCTCAGCTATTAGCACGACACGTGCCAGTGTATTTCTATATCTACGATTATGAAGGCTCCAGAGGACAAGCCTGGATAAATTTGACAGGAAAATATAACAGACATAGTAAAATGGTTTTATATGTTTTAAATAAAAGATATTCTAAAATAATATTTTCTTTACAGTAAAAGGTGTGGGTCATGCTACTGAACTTTGGTATCTGTGGAATCCAATATGGGCTCCTTCTGGATTCAGTAATGATGAAGAAAAACTTACGACTCAACGTCTTGTAACTTTGTGGACTAACTTTTTCACATATGGGTAAGATTTTAATGTTTTAGTACAAAGAATATTTCAAATAAGTATTATTACCACCAAGTAAATTCCGTTTTGGAAAATAAATAATTTTCTGAGGTGAATATCCAATATTTGTATATTATTTGTTTCAGAAATCCAACCCCTACAACAGTTAAAATTTTCAATGACACCAAATGGCCAAGGGTAAAAGGACCAAATATAGACTTCTTCTACATTGGAAGACAAATTAGGTCTGGTCGAAATTTCAAAGGAAACACTCTACGGTTTTGGAATAGTATTTATTCATCCTATTCTAAAGGGCCTTTCCTGACTTATTGAATAAATTATCATTAGCCTAATTATTTAGTTACTCTGTGATATGTTTAGTGAATTTTGGTCATAAGTTCCTATTGTAGGTACAAATTGATGATTGTTACAAAAAGTATTTGAACAAAAAAATTATATTAGAGTTTTTGTTTTATTTCCAATTTCTCCTACATCTAGTTACTCTATAAAACTTGAAAGGGTAACTTTTCCCATTTTAGTAGTGGAGCTGGATTGTTGACAGTAGATTCCAGTTTTATCCTCGGATTCCGGAGAAGAAGACATTGTCGACGACTTGCTGTCGTACGTAATCATACGATAAAAACGAATAAACCCTCTTTAGTATCGGAATAATATTTATTCAATGGATTCAAGAACTCGCTCTGTGATCGCATGCAAGATGCTTTTTGAATTATAGAAACATGGTGCACGGAATCCATCCATGTCCATCATATACAAAAATACTGGAATGGTCCTATTTACAAGAAAGAGGAAACTGGAACTTTCGACAGCACCCAGACTCTTAAACACCGAACTAAGTTTTGCCGTCGAAGTCAAATATCTGGGAGTGACACTCGATTGCAAACTTACATGGAATTCTCATATTGCTAAGAGAATACATAAAGCATGTATCGCCTATGAACAGTGTAGACGTACTATCGATTAGACCTGAGGGTTCTGTTCCAAGGTAGGTAGTTATGTGGATCTATATAGCCATCATTAGGCCTATGCTTATTCATGGGGCTATTGTCCGGGGTCATAAATTCTATTAGCCGAAAGCTGAACCACGTTCAAAGAATGTCATGCCTCAAAATAACTGCTGCATTGCAACCACGCCAACTAGGGCTTTGGAAGTAATTCTATGTTTGACGCCCCTGGACCTTTATGTCAAGAAGGTCGTTTCAACCACAATGATGCGTTTCCGCACTGTGTGTGTAGATTGTAGAACCAAATGCAGAAGCTGGTTTGCAGAGAGCACGCATATGGCGTGATGCAACGAACCAACTTCCACTGTTGCCAAGTGTCCTCCAAACGGAAATTACTGGCATACTCATCGCTGCAGAACAGATGGTCATCAATATCACTGACAAGATCGTGCACATCCACATGGACTGCAGACAAGCAGTACTAGCCCTATCTAGACTACGACTCAAGTCAGAACTAGTACAACATTGCTACCGGCTACCGTACCCTCAAAGAAGCGTCGATAAAAAACACGGTGGTCAGCTGGATCAAAGGACATGATCACAGCAAAGGCAATCGGGCTGCTGATGCTCTGGCTAGGAGGGCCGGTATAGGCTACAGCTTTCTGGACCTAAGACCCTTCATGGGACGGACCATGTCGGCGGCTAAAGATATGATCCAAAGAACGCTCTCACACGCTTTTCAAAAAGCGCTGGGACGATAAGATTGACCGCAGCTTATCCAAGGAACTGCTAAGCTACCCAGATAAAGCTACAGCGAGCCAGAAACTGTTGACCAGGAAAAGGCTACCCCTAATAACGGGCATCTTGACTGGCCACGGCCACTGTCAGTTAAACAAACATGTGTTTAGGTTGCATCTTAGCATCACACCCTTGTGTAGGGCTTGTGATCAGGAATATGAGACGATGGAGCATATTCTTTGTGACTGCACTGCTCTTTGAGGTACCGCCCTCGGCGACGTCACGCCTACGTTAAATCGCTAGGCTGGATAATGAACTAAGGAAGACCTCTCCTTTTGTATTGTGGAGGTGCACAATGGGCCTACTGTGGCATACCACCCTCCCAAACTTACAGATACAGAAATAATTTTAGATGATCTTTAAAATACAAACTAGGTAAGTACGTCTAAATAGTAAAAAAAAACACTTTTTTGTTTCGTAATAGTTTTTATTCGAATAGGTACTTATGTTTAATATCTAAATAAATATTAGCCTATCTCTTATGGAATACTTAATAAATATTCAATTTAAACAGTTTTAGTTTTATTCCCGATTATTTCTTCAGCTAGTAGCCTTATGTTGCAAAACACATCATCCACAAGTTCTTGCGCTTGTTTTTGCGAAGCAATTAAAGCTTTATCAACCAAGAGCCCAATTTGATATCTGTCATCGTACGTTATTATTACTATACCTACACCTGTAAATATTTTATTTTGTTTTATTATTCTTCAGTAAACATGAAAAGTTACCAATTTTTCTTAAATTAGGTGGAGCAGCAACCATTTTTTCAACATAGCAGTCATTGTGTAAAACTATACGCTTTCCTGCAGGTAAATTACTTATTATTGCAGTGTAGGTTCCTGAATCATGGAGCTGCGTTCTTATGCTAAGAGGAAATAGGGCAAATAGATACCTCATGAATAGTTGATTTGACTAAAAAATTTAAAATATACTCAATACCAAATTATTGTCATAACTATAACGTGTTGTCACTTCCAAACAATTATAATATGTACCTATTTTCGAAAACATTGATGTTCTTGTCTGTTGACTCTATAAGGTCAAATATCTTCAGAGATTCTTTGATATTAATGAATGATTTTTAATTTATTAACGCTAATAGTACGATCATCCAAACATACTTATTAAGTAGATCAAGTTTGTAACTTAGGGTTGGATAACTTCTCATAAAACTGAGTGGACATTTTGAGACAAATGAATTAGCCAAATCGCTCTTACCAAAGCTTCAAAGTAGGTTGATTGTTCAGAATTCTGTTTAACTTTTAATAACAACTGCTTCAAGTTACTAGCTTCTTTTATAGGCAATTCCAGTAACACTGCGGTACTTCCATTTTCCATTGGTATTGGTTTATTTTTCTCTATTCGTGGAAATTCCATTCTCAGTGTGGAAAAAACTGATATGCTATTGGAAAGGACAGCGTCATACTAGAATACCAAACCGGTTACAAAATTACATTTCGAATTGTAATTTTTTTTTAAAAACCTTTTTAAAATAATTCGCAAATGCAGCACTTACTGCTGCAAAAACAACATTCCCAAACTTCATTCCTGGCAAAGCGTTTTTGATTTTTTTTGTTAATGGTACAAGTTCAACTGATTCTTCAGATTTCCAAACCATAATTTTTTTGCCTGAAAGCTCTACACCATGAAGTGCATTATTGTCCGATGCTCGCCAATGGATCAGTTCCATTCGTTTTTGGAGCATAAAAAATATTATATAGAATATGAGCTTGAGAGTCTCAAATATATTTTTCTGAAATAGGTTTGAAATGTTTTAGTTTTAAAAATAAAATATTTAAATTGTGCGGAAATTAATTTTTTTTTTATGTTAGTGGTAGGTATCAAAAGTTTTCTACAATTTTACAATAATTTTAAGTATTTTTCTAAAGCCTATCTATACAAATAATCATTCGGGATCCCTCATAAGAAGCGACTTTCTGATTACCACTTGTCTGTAACTTTCTGGGCAGCTTAATTTTGAGGAGTCCGAAAACTTTTTTACTTGTGAAGGATATGGGAGATGGAGCATTTCCGCGTTATGTTGACATGCTTACATTTTAATTTTTGATGTGTAAACATCTTTGTCGACGGTATAAGTGTAAATCTTGGGAAATTAGGACATATGTATGAAATCGGATGTAACATGCGCAGTGATTAGTGCGCAGCTACTTTAGCGCTTGCGGCCTAAGGTGGCATCAAATTTTCATGTCGATGATGTCGATATAGTCGATGTCAATTACGGCGGGTATTATAAAACTATTTTGACAAATAGCTAAAAACTAACTTCTGGAATGACGTCACATCTCAAGTCATTCCAGAAGTTAACTTTCAGTTACCTATTTGTCAAAATACTTTTACGCCCTTATGGAAATGCTGATCTGATTAAGCCTACCACCAACAGCTGTTTGTTTTTTAACTTTCTTTAATGAACACGATTGACCATAGGCGCCGGAACCATGGGGGCAATGGGGGCTTGAGCCCCCATAGTGAATTTGCTATTGTATGTAGCCAATTTTGGTATTGTATGTAGTGGGTAGCTACAAAAATATTGAGTTCCTGTTCCTAACTATTTATTTTTATGTCAAACTTGTGTGTTTTATGTTTTTGTTGTTTTTTCTATACCTACACCTACTCTAACAAACAGTTTGAATATTTTGTTGTGTAGTATTTGAACCTGTATTTTCAATAAGTCGTTGGATTATTATTTCCTTTCCGTTTGTTTTCATGATAGGTATGTTTATATCACATGAATATATCATGATGTACCAATACATTGACTTTTTTTACTCAGTTTATCATGGAAAATGTATATACAGACCGGACAAACCTACTAGACACATAGAGGAGTAATAAGACGAATTAGCTTATACCCGGTTAAGGCGAATCGAACCGGTGCTACCCACTTGCGTAGCCAGGGAGGGGGGCACAGTGGCATTTGTTCCCTTCTCCCAAAGGCCTATACATTTTATTTCTAATTCAAAATTAAAATAAACAAAAAAATCAATTCAAGTCCTAGGTAAATATTCAAATACATACATTATAATATAAGTAACGTATAAGTTAAATTCTCATCAAAATTTGGTAAAATGGCCGAATCCCTGCTTGCCCCTACCATTAGAAGTCCCATACCGTAAAAAGACCCAAAAATTTCGCGCTTGCGGCGCTTACCTCCCTACTGCTCTTGCGGCACAGCTGCAACTGCTAAAGGACCACTTTCTGACTTTCTGCAAATTTCGCCTCCCCCCAAGGCAAAAAAGAGTATAGCCGAGCTGCCGAAGATGCACGAATTTTAATAATATGTGTCTAATGGCCTAGTCCGGTCTGTCTAATTAATTCTACTTATATGTCAATTTTTGGAGTCTGGGCCCCCATGGTAATTTTGAAATTCCGGCGCCTATGCGATTGATAAAAGACAAATGACATCAGGTGAAGATCGGGTTAATCGAATCAGCGTTTCCCTAAAGAACTTTTATAAAACCCGCCCTTAGTATTACTATTATTACCGAACGAGATGTTCACACATCAGTGTCCCGAGTACAAGCAGACTCGCTCTTTTTTTTTAAATTAAGCAAAATCTATAAATTTACAAAAGGCTTGTTGCAAGAATTGGTGCAATTTGAGCTGCGTACTTATATTTTTCGATAAATTATGTAAAATGTTATTTTAGTCCATAAATTGAAAATTTTACTCTCTCTTGTTGTCGGACTAGTCATATGTCCCCATATTTCTGTGGGACAATGTGACTACTGATCATAAAATATGCTTCTGTATCTCTATCTGTAAGTTTGGTTGGTTGGTATGCCAAAGCACTTAGGCCACAGTAGGCCCATTGTGGGCCTCCACAAGAGGAGAGGTCATCCTTAGCTCATCATCCAGCCTATCGATTTAACACAGGCGATGACATCGCCGAGGGCGGTGCCTCTGATCTTTCTTGGGATGGATACGATTGGCATAATATGGCTCTGCGTATTGACGAAAGACCAGTACACAGAGAATGTGCTCCATCGTCTCTTCTTCTTGATTTCAAGCCCTACATAAGGGTGTGGTGCTAAGATGCAACTTGAATACTTAAATGTTTGTTTAACTGGCAGTGGCCAGTCAAGATGTCTGTTATTAGGCGTAGCCTTTTCCTGGTCAACGACAGTTTCTGGCTCGCTGCAGCTTTATCTGGGTAGCTTAGCAGTTCCTTGGAAAAGTTGTAGCCAATCGTATCGTCCCAGCGCTTTTTGAAAAGGGTCTGAGAGCGTTCTTAAAATATGCTTACCTATGATGTGCTTCTTTCATCTGATAAGTGGTAATCATGACATTTTTCGTGTAAATGACATTGTCGTACTGATCATAAATTATTATCTAGCATTCATAAAAGAATCACATCAGTGGTCATCATGTCAACATGTTCAATCAAAATGGCATGTTTCAAAATTAATATCGAAAAATATAAATATAAGATTTGTTAGATACTAAAGCTATTGCGCGTTACTCGTTTTCAAGGTGTCAGTCTGTATATTCTTGTATTCTTACCAATAAGCCAAAATAATAATCTCCCTCATCACTTTTGGTAGAATTACTTCCATGTTTTCCATTAAATACTTCCTCGCCAAAGTCTTTATCACATTGACCAATCAACCGACAAATGAATGCAACTTTTGAAGCGCCATCTCCAATCAAATGGTGGAATCTCATGTGAACTGGATAACGATATATATATTTCTAGTAAAAGATAATGGTGAACTTTGAGTTATACCTATAATAATTACCAAGAAAATGGAAATAGGTTTTAGATTTCTGGCCTGACGAGACAGAAAAAAAAACTTTTTGAAAAACTGTTATATGTAGGTATCATAATTTTTCTTACCCCACCGGATTTCGTCACCATTGGCTTTTCACCCATCACTATTTCCCATGTAGCGGTATTATTATAAGGAAGTGGTGAATTGTAAGCTTTTTCAACCATTTTTTTAACATATTCTTCGTCGTAGGTCTCATTCTGAGGCTCAGGAAAAGTTTTCACACTTTCATTTAATTTAACTGAATTTTTTAAAAAATAACCATAACCAGCGTAAGTGTGCAAGGTGCTTGTCATTTTCGAGTAGTCTTGTGGTGAATCAAATATCTAAAATAATCAAATTGAAAATATGTGTGAAAAACAATAATTTACTTATTGTAGGAAGTTACCATTTTCTGCAATCGGCTTTTAACTAAGTTTACCATGTCAATTTCTTTGTCGCTTTTTACAATCACCATCGTGCATATCATACAGGGCGATATGTCATTAAATACAGAAAAAGCATCACCATAGTTCAGGAGACCACCATATTTATCACCAAGACGAATTCTGAGTAATATGTCCACAATTTTTCGGTATATCCAAAATATACAACAGCTAAAGGCAAATAGGACCATTATGAAAGGTGACAGAAATGGTACCAGCCAGATAAATGCGGTATTCTTAAAAACGGATTTATAGTGTCATAAAATTTGTTCTATAACTATTTAGAACTTACCATTATTGCGGCGAAAAAATTAAATAAGTACCTACGCGTACAAATGTAGTATTTGATACTTTCTTCAAAATAAATGCATAAATGTATGATTACAAGTATTTATACAAAAACTATGCACAATATGATATTTTTTTACCTTGAAAATTAAAATCGATATATACGGGGCTAAAACTATGATTTATTACTCAGGAAATTAACTACATATATTACATTTTTTAAGGAGGTTTTTTCCACACTTTTTTTTAGAATTTTGGAATAACGTACTTATATTTGTTTTGTCTTAATGCTCGCTGATATAATCGCATAATAATAATATTTTCTGGCCGATCGGAATTTTGTCAAAGTTTTGCATATTTTTGAAAAGTACCTATTTGATAGCGTACCTATCTTTATAGACAATTTTATATTTCACAGTGAAGATGAATCAAGTTTGTTCGATGGATTCCCAATGATTTGTTCTAAAATTTGTATCAACCGCAATTCACACCCAAACTTCCTCCAAAATCCACGGCATTTTGAGTCAAATAATCTCTACAAACGATAAAAACAATTCCTTTGTATAATATGTTTTAACCTTTGTCTTCCCACGTCAAAAAAAATTACGTAGATTCCGACGTGGGGTACAGGTTGTTTCCTAATATTTTGACCCCTACCTACAGCTTTAGCTATACGAGGTGGAAAAAAACATTAAGTATGAAAGTTGTAGGGTTTTATGTCTATTATCTTTTGCGAATGTCAAAATGGGCAAATGACAGGTGCCAACTGCCACAATGATAAACACTTGCAGTTTTCGAATGGAACATCCTATATATTTTTGGCTAGAATGATAGCTTTTTTTCTCCTGATTCCAAATATACCATACATGTTGATGTTTGGTTCAGTTATTTTTGCGCTATTTAATTTTGAAATTGCATTGAGCAAGCCTCATCATTGATATAAGAAGCCAAGACAGATTAAATTAAAGGGGGTGTGCGCCAAAAATTAAAGTTTTAGTGTAAAAAAATCTAAGAATAACTGTTCAAACCTCGTTATTCTACGATAAACCATCGCTGAGATATACCGCTTTAAAGTGTGGACGACGCTCTCGTGACGTCACGAAAACTTCGTCCAGCGGCGCTCTGCATTGTTAATTTGATTGTTCCCGGCACGCGTGAGTGGTTTTTGTTTAGATTATTGCAGGTAACACAGGAAAAACATTATGTAAATTTAATTAAATTCACTTTCTCGTGCGTCGCTTGAGCTTTCGTGACGTCATAGGGTGAGATGCGGTACCTTCATAGAGCCATATCTGCGGTATTATTTGTCATAGAGGGGTGCGGATTTCACTGTTATTCTTAGATTTTTTTTCTCTTTTTTTTTTGAGATGAAGTTGTTTTTTTGGCGCACACCCCCTTTAAGGGTAATGTAAATGCATTTTTAAACTTGAATAGCGTAAAAACAGCTGAACCAAATAGCAACATATATGGTATATTTGAAATCAGCAGAAAAAAATCTATCATTCTAGCTAAAAATATACAGGGTGTTCCATTTGAAAAATGCAAGTGTTTGTCATTGTGACAGTCGGCACCTGTCATTTGCCCATTTTGACATTCGCAAAAGATAATTGACATAAAACCCTACAACTTTCATATTTAAAGTTTTTTTCCACCTCGTATAGCTGATGCTGTAGGTAGGGGTCAAAATATAAGGAAACACCCTGTACATTCGCACCCCATGATAAAAATGACACTTCTGATAATTAAACATGATTTTATTTATACTAAATAGTTATGATAGATAAAATCAACCTATAGAGTACAGCTAGCGAAAAAAAAATAGTTAGGAAATGGTATTTTCGACCAATGCGTGCCATCTTTCGATTAATAAATCATTTTTTCGCCTTCTACTTCCCGTAAACTTTCGTTCTCTACCTGCTCCACATAGATACTTCTTGATTAGCTTTATTATCGTGATTTCTAAATTTTGCAGGTTGAAAATCTATTTCAAACCGGCAAATTTCCTGCAAGGTGACTACTTGATAGAGTAGCCACAGATTCCCACGTGGGGTACGTCATTGGGTACATGTGCCCCACGCTATGCAAAAACTATTATTTCTAAAAAATAAATAAATAGAAAATTTTTTATGATCACAAATTATGTGCAAAGCCCTTACTGACACAAAATGAAATTAGTCACACAAAATATGCACTTTTTGGGAAAATATGCTAGAAAAATTGTTTCCTGGAGTACATTTGTACTCCACCCGCGGAGACGAAGGTTAATTATCTTATTAGCTTTATTGAGTTTTTCTCGACCAATGTTCACAAAAATAATTGGGTATTGATTTTAAAAAAAATTATTAACATATAGATTTAATATTCATTGAAAATAATTACTAAATATAATTAATTTTCATAGGTAGGTTTTTTTCAAATATTACTTTAATAAACAATTTCGAACCAATTTAGAGAAAAATAAGGGGCATATTCCTTGCCTAAATAACTTATTCGTAAGGTAATTGTTCTATAATGGCGCATGAAGTAGCCAGCGCGGACAGTATGATTTTCTTTTTTTTTAAGAATTTCATGTCTCATATTTCTAATGATTAGTTTAGGACAAATTGAGAATATATAAATAAAGTTTCAATGTCTTGCAATATTTTTTTTTTTTTTACGGATATGCGCACTTGCAAGGAAATGTCCTATCACGCTCGAGAAGCGGCAAGTGCGCGGAAATGTCGGTGTATGTTGGTCTTGAAACGGTTCAGGTCGTAACCTGAAGGGAAAACCGTCGCAGGGAGTTTATTCCACAGCGATGTTGTTCTCCAGAGATATGAATTCTGATATAATGAGGTTCTTGGTGCCTCTAGTTTGACAGTAAATTCATGGTTACCGTCTGTTTGACGGGTTCGCCTGGTAGGTGCTATTCTCGGTGGAATCATACGTGCCAACTCTTCAGAGCATTTTCCGTGATAGTACCTGTAGAAGAGAGATAAATCGCCCACAGATCTGCGATGTTCGAGACCATCCAAGTTACGAGTAAGTGCGGGGTCATTGATCAGCTTGATAGCTCGTTTTTTGCACGGTATTCAAAAGCATTAAGGTATGTTTGGGTGCTGCACTCCATATATGTGAGCAGTACTCCATAGTTGGTCGAATCTGGGCTTTGTAGAGTGTCAGCAATTGGCTTGGTGTGTACAGATGTCTTGTACGAAATAGCACCCCCAGCTTTTGGGAGGCCCTTTTAGCAATATCTGCCACGTGACTGTGCCAAGACATGTTGGTCTCTGCAGTAACCCCCAAGATGTTCAACTGACTCTGTAATGTGACAGCACTTCCAGATAGCATGATGTTTGGCTCACCGGTGCTGGTCTTTTTTGAAAACAGAGCTGCTTGGGTTTTCTGCGCGTTGAACTGTACAAGGTTTTTGTTACCCCAGTCCTCTATTATCTGTAGGTCGTTATTTATCTGCGATATTTGAGTTAGTCTAAGATGATGGAATTCACGTGCGGAAAGACCTGTGGGTGGTATGAGTGAGGAGACTACATTGCCATCGTCTGCAAAGCAATAAAGTGGATTTACTGTTTTATCTATGAGGTCATTTATGTAAATCAGGAAAAGAGTTGGCGAAAGGATTGCTCCCTGTGGCACACCAGCATTTATTTGGTAAGAGTTGGAGTTCTGGCCATCCAGTGCAACATAAATGGATCTGTTCTTTAGGTAACTTTCAAACCAAGTGCAAAGTTTCGGCGATAATCCCATTGCTTTGAGCTTGTTGAGCAGATTTTCATGCCAAACTTTGTCGAATGCTTTAGATATATCTAAGGCAATTGTTCTTGTTTCACCCCGCAACTCAATCGCTTTTTGCCATAAGTGAGTGACGTATGTAAGTAAATCGCCAGTTGACCTATATTTTCGAAATCCGTATTGCTTATCGTTGATAATTTTGTACTTTTCCAAGTACTTGGTTAGGTGATTGTTCACAACTCTTTCCATTACTTTTGATATCACCGGAAGTAGAGCAATTGGTCTATAGTTTAACGGATCTGTCTTTTTTCCTTTCTTTGGAATGGGTTGTACTGCGGCAGACTTCCATGATGATGGATATACTCCTTGCCTGTAAGACAAATTGAATAATTTTGCGAAAGTTGGGGTGAGTTCGTTGGCGCAATTTTTGAGTACTATTGCGGGAATGCCATCCGGACCCATTGCTTTGTTTGTATCCAGCTTTTTTAGGGATTTTCGTATTTCTCTGTGACAAAAGGGTACCTCTGGCATACTATGGGAAACCCTTTCAATGAACGGTGGAGTTTTTCCGTTTGGCACTGTTAGGTTGGAGTTGGAGGAAAACATTTGGGCAAGCATATTGGCTTTTTCCTCTGATGTTGTGGCTAAGTGATTATTTTCATCTGTAAGTGGTGGTATGGATGACTTGGTGAAGTTAGATCCAACAGCTTTTGCAAGAGACCAAAAAGACCTAGAACTACTTGGACAATTCAGCAACCTGTTTTTTATTCTTTGATTGTATGTTTCTTTAGCGGAATCAATAGTAATTTTGCAACTATTTCTGGCTTCTATAAATTCTGTGTGGTTTTGAGCGGTTTGTTGTCGTTTCCAAAGGTTATATGCTCTGTGTTTTTTCTGTACAGCCGTTTGACACTGGCTGTCGAACCAAGGTTTTGCATTAGCTCTACCTTTAGTTGTATGTGGGATATATGCGTCCATTCCAGATAAGATTACTTGTGTTATTTCATTACAGCAAATAGTGGGATCAGCTGTTTTAAAGCAAACCTCTTGCCATGGAAAATCCAGGTAATACTGTTTTAGGTCATTCCATTTTGCCGATTTATAGTGCCACATTTTACGAGGAAGTGGTTGTAGGCTTGGTGGGATGAGCATTTCGCACTTTGTTATTATAAGTTTATGATCGGACGAACCAAGTGGAGCATCTATACTTGAATTGTGTACGAGTCAGGATTGGTGGTTAGGAACAAGTCTAAAAGCGCTGCAAATTCGCCCCTTTCTGAGATACGGGTAGGTTCATCGACAAGCTGCGTTAGACCACAACTTATGGCAAAAGCTTCTGCTTCTCTACCTTCGTTATCTGTTTTGTTGTGGTGTTTCAGCCAGGGTATATTGTGGACGTTGAAATCGCCTAAAAAGACAATTTCCGCCTGTGGATAGTTTGACTGTATGCTATCACAGCTTTCGGATAATGTCGCGAAAAAGTTTTGGTAATCGGTGTTACTTGGCGGTCGGTAGAGGCAGCAGATAAACTTGGTCGATGACTTTGAGGTGAATTTTAGCCATATGATATCAAGGTTCGCTGGTTCTAGCTTCTCCTCTCGATGACATGAAAGGTCATTTTTAATGTACACACAGATCCCAAAATTATGTCGAAATCGGTGGTGTAGGTCATAGCCGGGATAAAGATAGTTCACAATAGGTGTTGCAGAACTGATTTTAGTTTCAGTGAGAACATGGATGTCAGGTCTTTGTTCTTCAAGATGTTGGTGAACTGAATTCATATTTGTACTTATTCCTCTTATATTGCTAAAATCAATTCTGAGTTGAGTTTTTGATCTTCTCTTTATATCTTTGCATGAAGGACCCCCAGGATCACCCGACGCCCGGAGATCCGAGTGGTCGGGTATTTTACCTCCGGAATATTTTGATCCTGGAGGCGCCATCATGCTATCTGTTACTCACTGTTGGAACCGGACTGCCAGCGCAGTAGCGGAACGTGGTGATACCACTTAGCGCTACTCAATTCTGGCATGGTGGTATCTCACCGGTCGACGCCCAATGAGTAAAAAGCGTCTACCACCTACACATATGTGAAATTTTGAGTATTTTCGTGAAAATTGCCCCAAGCAATCAATTTCTTGGTCTTGGTGCTGAGCAGTGTTTCTGTGGAAAATTTAAAGAGAATGACAGTTTTTTGTTTACAGCCATTATTCCAGCGAAACTGTCTATGTATATTTTATTTAAACCAATTAGTAATTTATCAATTAAAGCTATCAGAATTGTTTATCATTGATAATGAAACAAACTTAATGTGTGAGGTTCAATGGTACGTACTGTGCAGGTTATTAATTGTAATTGATGTCATTAATTGAGCGATTTGTCTATTATGGTAGGTAAATATTGGATGAATGCCTATAGGTAGGTACCTAACAGTGAATTCATCAATTCATTCTTCATTGCGATTAGTTATTTTATACATAATAAAGATATTAGAACGTCCCAACATAGTAAAAGTTATTTAGATTCGAATAACTACAACATTTGGTGACAGCGATCATAACAAATGTACGTTGCACCTCTACACAAAATGTTCGCCTTACGGAAGTGCAAAATTAGCAAACCTTTAAGTTAGCTTTGATAGGATGTAATCGATTTTAATTACTTTTTTTTATGTTTCTATCCATCTTAATAGTCATCCTAGTTAGCACCTTTTTTATTACTTCGTGTTACATTTTAATGAACGACAAAATATTCTGGAAAACTTAGCGTTGATAACATGGTAAAGGTATGTAAAATTATATTTAACTACATATAAGGAGCGTATTTGGAACTCTAACTTCATGCCTTTATTTGTCTTTATGGTATAGATACAATTTTTTTTAGAATAAAGAATTACCCGTGTTGATTGATGTCAGATATTATATTGTCTTGCTGTTGGTCTTTCTGGCATGGCCTCCACAACTGGTACTTTACCTAACTTTAGTTGTTTGGAAAAAAGCCCTAGACTTAACGCTGAAAATATGGTTCGGAAAAAAATATGGAGGACTAATGGACAAAAGAGACGTAGCTTTTCTTATAGCTCCAACAGAACGTACTTCTGTAGGAGTTGTGATAATTTTGAAAACTGATAAACCAAAAGATATGTTGAGTTTTATGACGAAACGCTTCAAAAAACAGGTAAGATGACAGTGTTTTTTTGTCTAGAAGAACACAAAAGTTCATCCATAAGAAACGCCTTTCTTCAACCACAGTTCTAGTGCGAAAATCCCTGCAAGCAATTCAACAATTACAAAAACATCCTATAAAAACCCTACGTAATTATTTCAAGGTTTTCGATCATCCAAATGACTACCCAAAACTCACTGGCACCCATCATTGGTTCCTGGGGTATCCCTACTGGATAAAAAACAGTCTTCGAATAAATAATTGTGTGAAAGAATTGCAATTGGGTGAAACTTATGATGAAGAAGATTTAAAAACATTTTGCGGTAAACATTTTATAGCAAAATATCCTGAAAATAACACCGGACTTTGGGATACTCATGTTAGTCGTCATCCCATGACAACCCAAGATAATGTAAGCAGAAGCAATATTTTTCCTAATTAAAAGGTCTATTTAAGAAAATTTTAGGACACATTTTATCGTTACCCATTTTTTATCAGAATTCACCATGCTGTATCTGATGGTACTTCCATGATTCAATTTGTCACTAGAATAGCCGGACATATAGAGTCCGAAGTTGCAAACAGGAAATTGTTTGAAAAATATTTTAATATGGATGAGACAAAAAAATATAGAAGTTTAGGCCAGAAAGTATTAGAATTATGGGTATAAGAAGCTTTAAGTTGTTTTTTATCAAAGATGTTTAATTAACTTATTTTAGCAAAAAACTAAAAAAACTATCATATTTATCCTCTACGTTTTGTTTATTGGTCTGGGTAAGTTTATTTATTCAAATTCCATTGGCAAACATGACGAGAACAAGCTACATAAGCCAAACCAAGTTGGTGACAAGTATGTAGCCTGGGCAATAGAAAAAGAACCACAGTTGGTTGCATTGGTGAAAAAAATCAAAAACACAGTCACTAAAACCCAGTTTAGTGCTGTTTTAGGAACGGGTGTACTGTCTAGTATCAGCAATTATTTCAGAAAGGCAGGTAAGTTGTAAACTGATCTTGCCGTAATAAAAATAGCCTGACTCTATCGTAGCAAAATTTGCCGTTACCTGATAACATATCGGCAGTAATGACGGTTTTACTGGATTTTATAAAAATGGACACTTATAGACCCGTACCTCTAGTTAATAATTCTGTTAGCGGCATTCTAACTTTCGACCTTGAACAGTCCAAATCATATTCGGATACTTTGCGACAGGTTCAAAACCAACTGGATAAAATGAATTATTGGGATCTCATGGTGAGATTTCATTTGTACCTGCATAAAATATTGGATTTGATTAGTTTCAAATATTTAATACACTCATCTTTGAAATACTTGATATGTTTTTAGGTTTTCAGATTAGTTGTGGAAGAATTTCTATCCCTCTTCCCAATGCCTGTTTTAAGATTTTTGGATAACTTTGGTACACGTACTCTTATCATCTCTTGCATGCCAGGAAATCCACTTACACACTTATCAGATGGTACGGTTGCTGAATCGGCAGTACCGTTGGCACCAAATGTTACAAATATAGGCAGGTACAAGATTCAAATAAAAACATGATTTTAACCCTTTAAGCTTTATTTTCAGGTATTACTTTTGTAACATTAACGTATGACAATAAATTTCACTGTGGCTTAGTGATTGACAAAAGCCTAGTAGGTTCTCAAAAAGTAGCCCAAGAATTGGTAAATGACGTCTTCACCAATCTGACCCAATTAGCTGCAGAGCTGGGAGTAACTATATAACAAGTTATACCTCCAATTTGATTTCTTTCAAATTTTTTAGAATAATAAATACTTGTATTACACCATTTTCTTTGATTCAATATACATTAATTTAATATAATAAAGTATATCATTTGCTATTTTTTGTACTTCGGACTGAGGTACTTTCAAAGATTTATCTATCAAAACTCCAATGTGGAACCGATCATCGTAAGTTAAAACGGCGAAGGAAATACCTAAAACATATAAATTAAATATCTTAAAATCAACCACAAATACTGTTTCCTTACCAACATCGCTCACATTGGGTGCAAAAGGTATCACTTTTTCTATGACACATCCATTACGCATTTTTATTTGTGAACCTCCAGGTACGTTCGTCAACAAAAAGGTTTGTGCTTTTAAGCCCATTTGAGGTGCTAACAGCTTCATAGGTATATTTCCAAATATTTTGCTTAAGAAGAAGTAGTTGATCTGAAACAATGTGTTTGAATGCAATTTGATCCAGAGAATTATCTTCGGTATATCTCGTTTTGTGATTCTCTTATAAAATCCTCTACCCTCTATGGACTTTTTTTTATAACTGTTAGGTGTCAAATGTTTATACTGAGGTCCACCTCGGAAAGAAAATACAGTGTGTGCTTAAGACCACACGACAGAAATACAGATTTCAACCAAAAAAAATACAAGTTTTTTTTTCATATTCATATTCACAAAGTATGTAATAACATTCACAATGTGTATAAGTCAGCTATCTACTCTAGTAAATTTTGCTCTGACTGCGCAGTTTTTTTTTTTTGAACAATATCATTATTTTTGAACATAAATATACAATAAAAATTCCTTAGTTATGTTGTAGGTATATTGTAAATTGTGGATATTAGCAATCCAGTTTAACAAATTATACAAAATATTTTTTAAGAAATATTATATTGTATTATAATTTTTTTTTTTTGCAATGTCACCCGCTTGCAGCAAGATGATGCAGTTTTACCGCTCCAGCAAAAGACACAGGCCTAGTTACTCCTAGAATGTCCCCTGGTAGTTTATTATAGGATCCTAGAGTGCGACTGATAAATGCTGCTCTTGCCTATATTGGTTCTTGATTTTGGAACATGCATTTGACCATAGGATCTTGTCATATGATTATGTAAATCGGAGTTTCTTTTTGGTTCAATTTTTGTTTCAATTTGTTTGTGCAATATTCTTTGTATTAATTTACATTCTTCCAATTGAATTATTTGGTCCACCTTCAGATATTTGAAGTTTTTGTACAGGTCTCTTGTATGATAGAGTCGTGGAAGCTTATGCAGGTATTTAATGGCATGATTCTGAAGTCTTTGCAACTTTTGTCTAGCTCTCACAGATGCAGCTGCCCATATAGTATACATATATTGTAATTGTGATTTAAATAGCGACTCGTAGACAGATGTTTTCACAAGATTCGGAAGATAGTTTGTACATTTTTTTATTGCTCCACAAGCAATTGCAAGTTTTCTCTGTAGTTTCTCTATATGCGGTTTAAATGAAAGGTCCTCATCAACAGTTAAACCGAGCTATTTAGAAGATTGCGCTTTATTTATGAATTCGTTTTTGAGTTTCATTTCAGTGTCTAGCACTGTCTTATTCTTTTATTTAAAAGTCATATACACAGTCTTTTTTATGTTGATTTCAAGGTTGTTCTTTAGCAGTTCAAGGTTGTTCTTTAGCAGCCACATATAGTAGGTCTCAAGGCATTTGTTCACTTCCGCTTCTATTGACCTTAGTAGGATTATCTCTGACCTTAGGCATTTCCCTTGAAAGAGAAGCACTGTATCGTCCGCACTTAAGATTGGCTCTAGTCAAACTGTGCACATAGAGTAGGTAGAGCAAAGGTCCAAGCACCGATCTCTGTGGAACACCAATTGTTGCTGGTTCTCTGACTTACTATTGTATACTGCTGCCTATTTGAGAGATATGAATTGATGAGTCTGTATGCAACGCCTCGAATTCCCATTCCGCCGAGAAGAGAATATTTCTGTTTACAGTATCAAAGGCCTTTTGCAAGTCGATGAAGACTGCAAGGGCAAATTTGTTTTCGTCCAGTGCGTTCGATATGAATTCTATCAGTTCTACAGCGGCTATATGAGTATTACTTGATTTTAGAAAGCCATATTGTTGTGCATCAAATTTAAATGTAGATTTTACATAATCTACTAGACGTCTCTTTATGACCTTTTCAGCAATTTTCGAGAATGTTGATATGAGGGCGATTGGTCGCTTATTCCCAGGGTCTGATTGAGCACCGGCCCCTTGAATTGGTATAATATTTGTGACCTTTAGGCAATCGGGAAAACTCCCATTTGTTCAAATTTTATTCACAAGCTTGGTAATTACAGGGGTGAGCTGGTTTCTTAGGTTCTGTACATCATATGTTGTTATCTCTTCTATACCCGGGTCACAGTTTTTCTTGAGCTCTTCTATAATGTTTCCGATTTCGTCTTGAGTGCAAGGCTTTAAGAATATTGTTTTTCTTTGTATTTCTTCTGCAAAGTTTATTTCATTTTCAGTGGCGGCTCGTCAGAGGAGGCAGGGGAGGCAGTGCCTCCCCTGTAAAAATGCTACAAAATGTATTTTGATATAATTTTAACCCCCAAAAAAAAAATTACCCACGATGCTAATTTTTTTTTTGGGCTGCCTCCCTCATAATAAAAGTCGCGCCACTGTTCATTTTGAAGTTTATCTTTCTCCTGCTCAACCCCCCGCCTATTTTATGCCCTATTTCCAGAAAATAATCATTCAATACCTCTGCTATTTCCTGAGGGTCTTCAATTTTTTCACCATCAAAATTTAGACAGGCTATGCTATTAGTTTTAGTACTATCTGAATATCGATTTTCTACGGTCTGAGTAATTGACTGCCAGGTTTTTCTTGTGTTGCCTCCAGCATGCTGGAATTTTCCAATATTATATTTATTTCTGAGTTTATTTCTCAAGGTATTGCATCTGTTTCTTAATTTCTTAAATTCTTCCATAAGAGTAATATCTGGTCTTTTCCTTGATCGAACATAAGCAGTGTTCCTTTCTAACTAAATTTAAAAATTCGCTTGTGATCCATGTTTCATTATGGTCTCTCAATTTTTTTTAAATTGTCGATTCTTGCTTGGCATCCTGTACAATCTTAATAAGCTGTTCAAAATCACTGATATCAGTATTCATTAGTCCTTCCTCTACTTTGCTCAGAAACTTCTCCTTCTTAATGTAATTTATTTCTCGTGTAATTTTGGGAAGTTTTTCTACTTTTTTCTTTTCAATTTCCATTAGCTGTATTTTATGGTCAATCATGTTCATGTCAAAAAATTGTATTGCAATCTCTGAGCTTTTGATATCGCTTATGTTGTGATCAATCAAAGTTCGAGTTTGATGTGCTACTCTGGTAGGTTCAGTGATGTTTATAATTTGAAAACCATTTCCAGTTATCGTATTTTCATAGTCATTTCTCAGATTATTATTCTGAAGCTGATCTAGATTCATGTCTCGATTCACGAAAGTTTCCCCTGTACCTAATGTCTTGTATAAAGTTATCCATGTCATTTGTAAATAATTTTGTATCCACTGATCCTGGCCTATATACTGCTATGATTTTTATATTTGGTTTATTTATTTTTATTGATAGTCAGTCACAATTATCAACAGAATTTTTATTTATTTTTATTCTTTCTTTATAGATAATCTTAATAGCTAGTATGACTTAATCAAATGTTCTTTTAGTCTTCTTTGGTGAATATTTTTATAGGTACACTTTCATCAGTCTTCTTTAGGAATATTTTTCCATGCACACAGTAAACACTTTTAAGGTTGTGTTGCTTTTTATATTCTCTGGCCTGCCTAAATAGCTCCTGGTTAAACTTTGTTAATTCATCATTCAAAAATATCTGCTTGTTTGGCCCTTGAAAGTTGAAGTCTCTGGTAAAAATGTTTTTTATCACTTTTCTTTGCTTGAATATTTGATTTTTCACATCCATTGAGTTACATTTAATCACAATCTTTTTGGGTTTCAATTCTATAGCTCTCCAAAATGTCACCCTGGTTCAAACCTCACTCCCATAACACGCAGAAGCTTGTTTACTACCTCATCTACGGTTTGGTTTTCTTGGACGGGAACACCTGTAGCTTTTATGTTATTCTGTTTTTCATTTTGCTCTCTCACATCCAATTTATGCTCTACCAACTGTACACGCTTTGTAAGCTTCTTGTTTTGTTGTGAAAGCTTTGTATATTGTCCAACACAATCCTCAAATAGCTTTCTTTGCATCTCAAACTTTTCTGATATGTATTCCATGCTGTTCTTGAGCTCCTTGGTTCCTGCATCATATTTCTTAGACATTTTTTCCTCGAAATTTCGAAATTCGGTTTTAATCAGGGCCTTTATTTCATTTAGTATACTTTTATCCATGTTTACTTGCAGGTTTTCAGCTCCTAAGGTAACCTCACTTTGACCTTGTTCACAACAGACAACAATATCGTCCCTAGTTATAACTTTATATTGTTTGCCACAACTAGGATGGTAGGATGATAAACAAATTTCACAATCCAACGACTCTTTAACTATTTTTTTGCAGAATTTGCATTTTTTTCAAACTTTTTGATCAGACATTAAAAAACAACAATTTGTCGAAAGTATACGACATAACCAACTACTTTCAGTTCTATTCAGTACCCATTCAGTGCCCACAAAAAAGTTCTAAGCACGCCTAATAGATTTCAAATCAGTTCAGAAAGTGAATAAAAAAACATCATAGATGTTTAACCATTGCCGCCATATTTATATTTTTTTGACAGGATTGTCCCATAACTGGAAATTAGGTTATGGACAAACTTGTTCTCTTTTTTCTCTTTTTCTATTAAATTACTCACTCTTTATCTGACAATATCTTCCCAAGAAGTGAAGACGTCAGACGTCTGATAACTTTTGAACTTCGGTGGTAGCAATAATATTGAGCAATAGCAGCGACGTTCGTGCTATGGTTTGAAGATAATTCTGTTATTCATTTGCCAATTTTTTTTTATTTATTTTTTTTTTCATGTTGCGGTTAAGGTGCTAGAAGTAGAGTAGTGTGAAATCTGCGCCAAAAATTCTAACTCCAAAAATTTCCTGAATCAAGCTCCACGCTACGTTACAATTACCAACCACAATGCACACAATAGCCCAGTCAAGTAGGATAATAATGGATAAATTAAATTTTAATATTTTTGACAGTTTTTCGAGAAGTGGATTTTCTCCAAATTTGGTATACATGTACACCACCCCTAACAACACCCTACATGAAAGCGACATCGATGGTCAAACAAAATTATCCAGCAAAAATGGTTAAGATATAAAAAAAAATCACAATTTATATTGTAATTTTTTTTAACAGTCTTCAGTCTTCCGACAAGTTGATTTTCCTCAAATTTAAAATACATGTACACCACCCCTAACAGCACCCTACGTGAAAGCGGCATCGATGGTCAAACAAAATTATCCAGGAAAAATGGATAAGAGATAAAAAAATTAACAATTTATCATATAATTTTTTAAACAGTGTTCCGACAAGTAGATTTTCCCCAAATTTGGTTCACATGTACACCACCCCTTACAACACCCTACGTGAAAGCGGCATCGATGTTCAAACAAAATTATCCAGGAAAAATGGATAAGATATAAAAAAATTAACAATTTATATTATAATCTTTCAAACAGTGTTCCGACAAGTGGATTTTCCCCAAATTTGGTATACATGTACACTACCCCTTAAAGCACCCTATATAAAAGCGGCATCGATGGTCAAACAAAATTATCCAGCAAAAATGGATAAGAAATAAAAAAATCAACAATTTATATTATACTTTTTTAAACAGTGTTCCGACAAGTGGATTTTTCCCAAAATTTGGTATACATATAAACTACCCCTTACAGCACCCTACTTTAAAGCGGCATCGATGGTCAAACAAAATTATCCAGGAAAAATGGATAAGATCTAAAAAAATTATAATATAAATGGTTAATGTTTTTATATCTTATCCATTTTTCCTGGATAATTTTGTTTGACCATCGATGCCGCTTTTACGTAGAGTGCTGTAAAAAGTAGTGTACATGTATACCAAATTTGGGGAAAATTCATGTTTCGGAACACTGTTTAAAAAATTATAATATAAATTGTTAATTTTTCATATCTCATCCTTTTTTCCTAGATAATTTTGTTTGACCATCGATGCCGTTTCCACGTAGGGTGCTGTTAGGGGTGGTGTACATGTATTTCAAATTTGGGGAAAATCCACTTGTCGGAACACTTTTAAAAAAATTATAATATAAATTGTTAATTTTTTTATATCTTATCCATTTTTCCTGGATAATTTTTTCTGACCATCGATGCCGCTTTCACGTAGGGTGTTGTTAGAGGTGATGTACATGTAATCCAAATTTTGGGAAAATCCACGTGTCGGAACACTTTCAAAAAAATTATATTATAAATTATTAATTTTTTTATATCTTATCCATTTTTCCTAGATAATTTTGTTTGACCATCGATGCCGCTTTCACGTAGGGTGCTGTAAGGGGTAGTGTACATGTTTACCAAAGGGGAAAATCCACTTGTCGGAACACTGTTTAAAAAATGATATGATAAATTGTTAATTTTTTTATATCTTATTCATTTTTCCTGGATAATTTTGTTTGACCATTGATGCCGCTTTCACGTAGGGTGTTGTTAGGGGTGGTGTACATTTAAACCAAATTTTTGGAAAATCCACTTGTCGGCACACTTTAAAAAAAAAATTATATTATAAATTATTAATTTTTTTATATCTTATCCATTTTTCCTGGATAATTTTGTTTGACCATCGATGCCGCATTCACGTAGAGTGTTGTTAGGGGTGGTGTACATGTAAACCAAATTTGGGGGAAAACCACTCGTCGGAACACTGTTTAAAAAATTATAATATAAATTATTAATTTTTTTATATCTTATCCATTTTTCCTGAATAATTTTGTTTGACCATCGATGCCGCTTTTAAGTAGGGTGCTGTAAGGGGTAGTTTATATGTATACCAAATTTGGGGAAAATCCACTTGTCGGAACCCTGTTTAAAAAATTATATGATAAATTGTTAATTTTTTTATATCTTATCCATTTTTCCTGGATAAGTTTGTTTGACCATCGATGCCGCTTTCACGTAGGGTGCTGTTAGGGGTGGTGTTACGGTGTACATGTAAACCAAATTTGTGAAAAATCCACTTGTCGGAACACTGTTTAAAAATGTATAATATAAATTGTTGTTTTTTTATATCTTATCCATTTTTCCTGGATAATTTTATTTAACCATCGATGCCGCTTTTACATAGGGTGCTGTAAGGGGTAGTGTACATGTATACCAAATTTGGGGAAAATCCACTTGTCGGAACACTGTTTAAAAAATTATAATATAAATTGTTGTTTTTTTTATCTCATCCATTTTTCCTGGACAATTTTGTTTGACTATCGATGCCGCTTTCACGTAGGGTGTTATTAAGGGTGGTGTACATGTAAACCAAATTTGGGGAAAATCAACTTGTCGGAACACTGTTTAAAAAATTATAATATAAATTGTTGTTTTTTTATATCTCATCCATTTTTCCTGGATAATTTTGTTTGACCATCGATGCCGCTTTCACGTAGGGTGCTGTAAAGGGTAGTATACATGTATACCAAATTTGGGTAAAATCCACTTGTCGGAACACTGTTTAAAAAATTATAATATAAATTGTTGATTTTTTCATATATCATCCTTTTTTCCTGGATAATTTTGTTTGACCATCGATGCCGCTTTTACATAGGGTGCTGTAAGGGGTAGTGTACAAGTATATCAAATTTGGGGAAAATCCACTTCTCGAAAAACTGTCAAAAAAATTAAAATCTAATTTATCCAATATTATCCTATTTCGACTGGGCTATTGTGTGCATTGTGGTTGGTAAGTTTAACGTAGCGCGGAGCTTGATTCAGGAAATTTTTGGAGCTAGAATTTTTGGCGCAGACTTCACACTACTTAGAAGTAGAATGTACCTTAGCAAATTGCCTTCTGAATCTGGCTAGAATGGGATGGTCTGTCGGTGAAAATGAGTCCTGGGATTTAGTAGGCAAATATGTTTTATTGGTCGGGTTTCGAAAAGCCATTTAGAAATAACTAACAAGCTAACTCGGACACAATTGGTGCTAAAGGTTTATGAAAAGACATCCATATTTATCATTCACAAAGCTGATCTTCGAAAAATTCGAAGAGAGGCCTTAAATCTGCTTGTCTACGATTTGATTACTGGAAAGCCACTAGATAAATCAAATAAAGCGTGTTTAGAACTCCATCATGAGTATAAGCAATTGGTGAATTTCAGGTTGTTCAGGCAGGGAATCGGCAACAGTGCTAGCATGTATTAATTGCAGCAGACGGTAGCTACCTACCCCCATTCAATGTCTTTGAAAGAAGCAGTATAGGCCCATTGGATATCACAGTAAGCCTTTCCAGGAACCCTGTATGGGACGTCAAAAAGAGTTTTAGGCATAAACTACCTGATCAAACAGCCATCGAGAGGTTGTGAACTCTGCGCTTGAACGCAGCATTCGATTTAGATAAATGTGTAATTGGTAATCCAAATAGGTTGGTTGTCATATTGTATTAGTGCCAGTTTTGTCGTTATTGTTATGTTATTAGAGAGTTTTTGCCATTCCGCTTTCCGCTGTCATCGTTATACTGAGTATGCGCAGTAGCAAAAAAAATTTCGTTGTACTTATCAACCAAAACAAGCGGCCTTAATAGAGACCTTTTGCACCTCTTATTTTGCCATTCCGCCGTGGTTATCGTTATACTGAGTATGCGCAGTAGCAAAAAAATGTTTGTTGTACTTATCAACCACAACGGGCGGCCTTATTTAAGGAGGAATAACCTTGTGCTTATAGCCATACCTATGGTTATGGTAAAACTGCGTTGATACCACATTGAAAAAGAAGTGATAGATGTTATCCCGTTTAAATGCATAATTAATTAAAATCATCTGAAAAAGTGAGTATGGATTATCATTTTTGTTATGAAATTGGTTTACATCAGAAAGCGCAGGCGCAATTCATGGCTCAGAGGCAAAATAGAATAAAGGAAATATGTAAACGTTTGGCGTTGCAAAATTTCTGATTTTGAAGGTTGTGGTAATCGCTATCGTCGATGAAGGTAGATAACCATAACTGATCCAAAAACTAATGTTACTTTAAGGGGTGCAAAAAGTCTCTATTTAATGAGGAACAACCTTGTGATTATAGCTATGGTTATGATAAAACTGCGTGGATGCCACATTGAAGAAAATTGAATAGATTTCATTCCGTTTTACTGAATAATTAATTAAAATCATCTGAAAAAATAAGTGTGGATTATCATTTCAATGAACACAATTTGCGTTTTCAAATAAATAATAGACTCAACCATAGGCTACTGCTTTTTTTAGGTCGCTTTCTTTAGTTTCTTCCACTTATTATTTATTTATCCAACAAGATATGGCAACGTTGTTTCATGAATGAACAATAACCCTATTTTTTTATGTTTGTTCACTATTAATTGCAAATCAAATCAATGGAATTAGCAAAAAAGTGACAAAAACCAACGACAAAACTAGTAGAAAATACTAGAAAAGCAGACATTTTGACATAATATTAAATTTTAGGTTATTATTATTATTTGTGATGAAATTGGGCAATCCAATCCATCTGTCAAAACGAAAAATTCAATATGGCGTGGCGCCCAGCAAGTTAGTTTTGAATATGTGTTTTCATGCTTATTTCAATTATTTTGCTTCGAGTTTTGCTTGCAGCTTTGATTTTGATTATTCAATAAAATATTTGTTTACTAGGTACGTAAACTATTAAGTCGGGCAGAAACTAGATATTTTTTTGTGTTTTTTGGTCCATGTGTGGCCGCCACGTCATCATGAATGTCACGTGGTTTGGATTGCCTAATTGGTTTACATCCAAAAGCGCAGGCGCAGACGCAAAATAGAATAACGGAAATATGTAAACGTTTGACGTTGCAACATCTCTGATTTTGAAATTCGTGGTAATCGTTATCTTTGATGAAGGTAGCCATAGCTGATCCAAAAACTGCTGTTATTTCAAGGGGTGCAAAAAGTCTCTATTGACCTGATTTTTTTTCTAGTTTAGCTTGGAAAATTAGCCACATTTATCTACGAGCCTTCATACGCAATAATATGATTTGTTAAAAACTGTGATTTACCTCTAATTTTTAACTTACCAATCCATCTGCGAGTTTCATATCTGATGACATTTGTTTAGTTACTTGGTCCAACGCGTCCATCAAAGTTTTAAATTTATGAGTTGAATGCAAAGTGAATATGGCTCCAGCTGATTTGTTGTCCAGCTTCACCGTGTCGCTATTTTCAGCAAACGAGAAATCTAGCAGTTGAGCTATCAGTCCCGAAGTACAATCTGGTATTGGCAGTGAATTCTAGAGGAAAATCTTATTTTATGCAAAGGAAAATTCAAATTGGACAAAACAAAACACGTCATGTACCAATATCTATTGTACAGCGTAATTAACTTACTTACCCTCTGAAAAAATTTTGTTAAGCTAGCCGATAACGCTGTTGCTAGTACCGGAGTGAATCTGGAATTAGCATGGGTTTTTATTTTTTTCACCAAAGGTATACATTCAGGCTTCTCTTCAGCAGCCCAAACAGCAATCTTATCTCCTGAATAATTTGTACCATGGAGAGCATTAACATCTATTGGAGCCAGTCGGGTATAATACCCAATTTTTCCCAAGGATATAAATATTACCTCTAAGTAGAGAAGAATTGCTTTCACGGTTTTATGCTAAAAAATAATTACAATAATTAGGGAGGAATTATTGTTGAAGAGCTCACAATATATAATTTTAATATCGTCCAAACAGTTTTATACTTCTGATTGGGTACTTTCTCTGTGAATTTCTTTAGCAATTCTGCACTATAGTTTTGACAATTTTCTTCTGCTAGAAGTTGAATTAAAAGTGCCATTAATGCCGTGCCATCTCCAATAGAATGATGGAATCTCGTTACAACTGGATATCGATAATGGGAGTCCTAAAAAAAATATTTTGTAATATGTTATCGTATGTGCTTTTTTTCAACTATTTACTAATCACTCAAAATATAACATCCATGACGAAAACCTGTATGAATTAGAAGAACTAAAAAACCTGAAGTTGATTATATTAGTAGAGTTCCAGAGGTGAAGAAAAGAGGAGAATGATGCCTCAGACTCAGGAAAGCGATTTGAACTTTTTGAACACCGTGGCAGTTGACCCGAAGCTAAGAAAAATTAATAAAGTCTTTTCATAAAAGTGTGATGAATTTTTTGCAAGTAGGTACCTAACGGCTAGCTTGGCAGAATAAATAAAAGAGGAGCTTATTATGGGCATAGGCTTAAAAAATCATCATGGCGGTCAAGAAGATTTAACCCCAAAATTCCGAAAAGATACAGATTTTACCAACGATGGGCTATTTGGTTGAAACATTTGAAGCTAAACTAATATATTAAAATACACCATAGATTTAGATTGTAGGTACTTTTTGATGTGTAAAATTTACAATATTTATATATATATATATATCTTGATTTTAATATCAATAAATAACAACAAAGGGCGAAGGAGACATGGGCGTCGTTTTTGGGGGGCAAGGGGGGCATTTGCCCCCCCCCCCCCCTAGAAATAGTCTTTTGAACAAGAAAGCAGTAAGAGAGTTCGTATTCGTATTGCTTTTTCCCATTTTTCAAAATTTGTTAGGTACTTTGAAAAATTGACTGACATTTTCATTACATTCAACGGAATTGAATTTCACTTGACTTAGGGCCGGTATTATAAAACACTGAACCGATAGTAGAGTTTCAACCTTCGGTTGAATCCTATCAATTTGCATGGAGTCGACCAAAGGTTGAAACTCAATCATTGATTCAGTGTTTTATAATACCTAGGGTTGCCACCTGTCCGGTTTTTTAAAGGTTTGTCCGGTGTCCGGACGCATGATGAAAATGTCCGGGAATATCTGGATAACTATATAATTAATAATAATTAATACCTAATATAAAATTTATAAAGGCGATTGCCGAACGCCTTAGGATATACCCAACTAATTTCTGAACGTTCCTACTTCTTGAATAAAGGGTGTATCACGAACGTCTCCGGTTTCCAGTTAGCGACGGAAAAGTGGACTTTTTCTGCCTAGGCAGAAAAGTTCGTTGCTTCCCATTCAACAAACGTTATCAGTGCAATTGATAAACATAAAAAACTGGATTATGCGTGAAACTGTAACAAATTCGGAGAAAAAATTATATGTTTCACTCGGCAAAAGATCAGATTTAATGCCTTGGCTGGTTTCGTCGCTTCGCTTTCGGCTATGGAACATTAGTCGCGGCATTAAATATTGTGCTTTTCTGCCTAATAAAACAAATAAGTATGTATGTATTGTGTCGTTCTCCCTGTTCACTTACAAGTGTCTCTGTTTTTTTTTTTTTAATTAGACCGTAACTACGAAGGGCGGCGTTTGAAATTAAGTAATTTTTTTTCTAAAAATTCATTTAAGGGCCCCATACACTGCGATGAAACACGACGGTTTTCATCGCCACGATGAAACACGTCGTTCTAAAACCGAAGTGTGTAATAGAAAAACACGACGGTTTTCATCGCCACGTTGGAACACGTTGTTCCTAAACCGAAGTGTTTGGTAGAAAATCGTTCGTGTTTTGGAACGACGTGTTTCATCGTGGCGATGAAAACCGTCGTGTTTCATCGTAGTCTGTGGGGCCTTATAGAAAACCGTCGTGTTTTTCTATTACACACTTCGGTTTTAGAACGAGGTGTTTCATCGTGGCGATGAAAACCGTCGTGTTTTATCGTAGTGTATGGGGCCCTTTACAGATATGAGTGTAAATTATGCAAAAAAAAAGTTAGCTTCGATTATGTACGGGTTTTCGGAAATCAAAAGGTGGCAACCCTAATAAATACCGGCCATTACAAAATTACCTAAACAAATGATGCGGACAGTGAATTTGTTGTGGAAGAAAAACCATAATTTTTAACTAAATATCGATATCAAATAATTACGTTAAAATGCTCAAAAAGGGGCGTGGCACCAAAAAAAATTAGCCTACGGCGGTTGCCTGCGGCGCCAATGGAAATAGTCTTGTTATAATACTGCCCCTCCCCCTGAGAAACCTAGTAATGACGCCCATGGAAGGACACCTAGATTATATTCACTTGCCTTAAAGTTGCCTTGTAGGTGATGTTTGCTTACATGAATATCCCAAAGGATAGTATCATTTTTAGGATTTTTACTATTCGTTATTTCACCAGTAACTCTTTTGAGACATTCCTCAGTGAATATCTCATTCTCTGGTAATTTCAATAATCTCACTGCATCATCAAGTTTTACGTCATCTTTCTGCCAATATGGATATCCAGAACAAAAATGTAGAGTGCTTGTTAGTTTTGGAAATTTGTCTGGGTGATTGAAAACCTAAAAAAAAATCCTATAATTTTTGAAAATAAATATTTCTCACTTATACCTTCTCTTTAAAAATGTCCCTTAGGATGTTTAACAAATCGATTTCTTTCTTACTTCGTACAATCAATAGCACTGTTATACAACATTTTGAAGGACCAGGCAAACAAAAAAATGCATCAGAACAATCCATCATCCCTCCAAAAGATTTTCCATGTTTTATTTCCAAAATCAAATGTATAATTTTTTTATATATCTTGAATAGAACAACTGTAGGAGTTATGGTTAACCACGCAGCCAAATTGAGAAGGAAGAATTTTATAGGTTTTGGCAGGCAATAAGTCTTGAAATAAAAAAATTAGAAAAAATCTTACTACATGTAAATCAAGAAGGTTAAATAAATTCGTCAAGAAATTATATTGTGAGAATCATAAATACAAGTTTGAAATTTCAGTAAGCACTAAAGGAAAACTGAATTCTTCTCACTACTGTTACTAACAATTTCTATTCATAGAAATCAATCTGATATTTATTTATTTATAATATAATAAAAAAATATGATTACATAATATACCATTTTATATTAACTGCTTTGCACTTGGCACGGTATGAATAGTTTTTGAGTCGAACTTCCTTTGAGCAAAACTAGTACCTACTCTTATTTCAAAACTTACTCATTATCCGAGCATTTTTTGATACCTATAACTATTTTTGTGAATTTTTGAGGCAATTAAACATTAAATAGAGCGTAACGACGTATAAACACTCCAAAAATACTATTTCTAGCCGGCCTTTTATAATATTTACGAGAAATTTCATCAAGTTCGGTCAAAGATCAGGACATTTTTGATAAACTTTTTGTTCAAACAATCCCGAAAATATTGGGTCATCAACCGTTACCATTATCGAAAATCTCGTTTTTCTTTTCATGTTTTGAAGGACCAGGCAAACAAAAAAATGCATCAAGACTTGAATAGAAAAACTGCAGGAGTTATGGTTATCCATGCAGCCTAATTGGGAAGGGAGAATTTTATAAGATCTGGCAAGCAAAAGGTAGGTCTTGAAATGAAAAAAAAAATAGAAACAAAAATCTAATATTTATTTACTTATAAAATATAATAAAAAAATATGATTACATACCATTTTTAATCAGCCGCTTAGTACTTCTATATTTAAAAGCAAATTGATTCAGTAACATCGTTTCTAAAATAGTGGTGCTTATCGTTGAAATGAAGATATCCAAAAACAAATATAGGATTTCTAATAAACACTGATTAATTAATGAGATTCTTTTTGTATACAGTGTGTCCACGTTAAGGAATTTCCACCCATGTAAGACCTTTATTTCTTGACTTTTTTTTTGTTAGGTGATTTTTAAAATGTGCCGGCAATTGCTTCACAGTTTCTTATTTATTTATTTTTTCTTGATCCCTGCACTTGCTTCTTGAAATGGTACAATAAACTTATCAATGTTTAGTCGACCAAATATTTTTTTGCAAAATTTACATTAACTTAAGTGGGCAACAGCACCCCATGTAGATGCGCGCACATGTGCCCATTTTCGTGAACGCTTTAAAGGTGAAAAAAAAGAAAAACGGCACATCAGAATTAGCTCACATTTTGCCTAAACATTCTTTGATCGATTATCTAAAGATTTTTGGTGTTAGTTTTTCGAAATTTTGAGTATTTCTTTGTACGAAAAAATAACAGGCTGGTTCTTTGGTTGCCTATCTTTTGAAAAAGGCTATGGATTATTTTCCAAAAATGAAAATCACGAAAAATTTAAAAAAATAACTCCATAAATCTTTAGATAATCGACCAGAGGATGTTTATGCCAAATCTGAGCCAATTCTGATGTGCCGTGTTTTTTTTTTGCACCTTCAAACCTATTTATGAAAATCGGTTTAACGGACAAACATATTGGCCTATGTACAGACGTCGAGACTGTTGGAATGGCTAATGGTTGGAGCTCCGATGACATGGCTACAAGCTCGATTGTAGCATTACGTGGCCCTGCCTTAGACCTTTCAGATACTCTTCCAACAGCTTCCCAACAAAACTATGGGGCGCTTGCTGGTGCGTTGGAGCATCGTTATGGAGACCATCACCAAAGGCAGCTTTAGCAGGTACAACTAAGAACAAGGCAACAAGAAGCTGCAGAAAGCCTCCAAGAATTTGAAACCGACATCCGCCGTCTGGTTAATTTAGCCTATCCGGAAACAGCAGCAGAAATGCGAGACAACTATAGTGACCGAAAATTTTATATCTGGAATTAGGGATATAGATGTACAGAGAATGCTGCTCATAACCAAACCATCAAATAGCAGCGATTCAGCGAAGCTCTAGTCAAGGCCCTAGAAATATGGGCGGCTTATAAGATTTCCGAAGCAAAGATTAGAGCTCTGTCGATTCGTGAAAAAAAAAGAGCCAATGAGAGAAATCAATGGCATCATGTTGAAGGAATTTCTGGAAGAATTCCGGAAGGCTGTTATCAGAATCAAGCTGAATGGATTTTGGATATATAAAGGCCGGTATTAGTTAGTGGTTTTTAAGTTTAAGATTGACTGTGATACGATCTAGATACTGAATTTTGTAAGAGTTGTGAAGAGTTAAGTTGTTTGAGTTAATTAGTGAAGTAATTATTGTCAGAGTGTGTAGTAACGTGGAATAAATTATTGTTGTGTTAATTAGACTTTTATTTTGGAATAAACGAACCCAAGATTTCTGTCACGCACCCCAGAGCCGTGACAATGCTTAGAATTTTTGATTTATTTGGCATAATACCAGTTTCAGTACATGTATGACCCATATTAAACAATGAAATTTGTCTCAATTTTACACTTATCTAAATAAATTTGACCCCATTTTTTTTTAGCAATTTCTAATATTTTTCAAATTATTATCATGTTGTAAAAGTTCTAAGTGGGTTCCAGAAAAGCAGAATGAAATCTCACCCCTTTTAAACAACTAGGCACGTATATATTGACTGAATAACAAAATTTACTATAAAAGATTCTGTGCGTTTTCTCATGAACCAGAACAATTTGAAAATTAATCAATAATTGTAAAAAAATGACAAATTCTGACAAACTAGTCTCTAGACGATCCAGGGGCGTCTCAAGGTCTGTTTGTTACACTCTCCCCACCTGGTCTCGAACTCGTCTGGAAGAGGAAGAGAGACCAGAAGTACTTTTTTGCTTTTTGGGTCTGCCTCTCCTTCTTAAAGGCACAACTGGCAAATCTTTCTTCCTCAATTACATTGGCACGACTCAACCTTCCAACATGATAGATTCCCAGTGGCACGGTTGGATCCTTGGGGTTGGCTACTTGATAGCTTGTAGGAGAAACGATCTTAACAATCTCGTATGGGCCGTCCCGTTTTGGGTAAAATTTCGATTTAACTCCCTTTGCAGCATTACTGAGCGCATGAACAGTGACCCAAACTCTATCACCCAACTGAAACAGGGGTGCGTCTCGCCTTTTTTCATCACCATACTGCTTTTGCAGATCTTGCTGCTTTTCGTGTACGCTTCTAGCGTCCTTCCAAATCAAAGGCATTTTGCTTAGATAAGGTGTGATTTGAGGAACAAAATTTTCCGATTTCACCACTGTGCGAATATCGGATTCAATGTCATCCAGACTTCTCAATTCCCTTCCAAAATTTAAATACGCTGCTGTCTGTCCGGTGGATTCGCACATAGCTGAGTACATAGCAAATCTAATTATTGGTAAATTTTCAGGCCAAGTACCATGATCTTCTTTGACAAGTATGGCGAGTCTAACTTTAAGATCTCTGTTCTTTCGTTCTAGCATGTTTGCAGCAGCATGGTATAAAGGTATAAATGTTTGTTTAATGCCCAGAATGTAGCAAACTTGTTGCATAACGGCGAAGATAAACTGGACGCCGTTGTCACTGATCAATTTGCGTGGTAGTCCATATCTGAAGAAAATCTCATTAATCAGGGTATTGGCACACTCTTTCGATGTAGCTTGTGTTAAGGCAAATAACTCAACCCATTTTGTGGAAGAGTCTTCCACGATGAAAATCCACTTTTTATCCCTGACGGTAAAGGCCCGAGTAAGTCTATACTTAGGGTTTCAAATCGCTGATTATACACAGGTGTTAGCAAAAGACGCGCTGGTTTTTGATTAGATGCCTTATATCTTTGACAATCTACACAGTTTTTTAGATATTCGGTGATAAAACGGCGCATACCAGGGAAATAAAACGTTTTAGCGATTCGTTGATAAGTTCTTTCCAAGCCATAGTGACCGGCACTAGGTGCGACATGATATTCTTTCAGAATTTTTTCTCGCTCGTGCACTGGCACAGCTAACTGAGCTTCCTCCTCGTCATCCTCGGCTGAATAACGATATAAAACTCCCTGGGACATAATAAAGCCTCTGTCTGTCCATTTATGGAAGTTAATGACAGTATCATCATGATTTTCGAAACATTGTATGATTTTGACAAAATCAGGGTCTTTTAGCTGTTCTTCTCTGATTTCAAAAGCACTACGGTGGGGTAGCTAAATACCTATAGTACAGATTTCCCAATTATTCTCAAGTTGATGGGAATATTGAGGTCTAGAGAGCATGTCAGCTATGACGTTTCTTCTACCTGGCAAATACTCGATTTTTAGGTTGAAACTTTGAATTTGTAAAGCCCAACGAGCTAGTTTGCCGGTGGGCGATTTGATATTCAACAGCCATCGCAAGGGTTGATGATCCGTCTGTAGCGTGATTGGCGAACACTCAATATAGCCTCGGAATTTGTTTAGTGCCCATACTACTGCTAATGCTTCCCGCTCAGTAGTCGAGTAGTTTCTCCCGGTGTTAGTCAACAGCCGACTAGCGTACTCAACAGGATGTTCCGTTTCTTCTTCACCTTGAAGGAGAACAGCTCCAGGAGCATAACTGCTGGCATCGGCTCGGATAATGAACGGTTTGGTCTCGTCACACTGCTGCAAAATCAGAGCAGTAACCAAAAGGGTTTTTAGAGTGTCAAAAGAATTTTGCTCTTCTGTACTCCATGTCCATCCAGTATTCTTTTTTGTTAAATTACTATGTGGGCAAAATATTTCGGCGAAGTTCTCGATGAAACGACGATACCAACTTGCTGTTTGTAGGAAAGACTGAACTTCGTGGACGTTTCTAGGTACTTGGCGTTCAGCAATGGCTGCCGTTTTGTCTGGATCCACGGAAATTCCTTGTGGCGTGATTAAGTGTCCGAGATACTTCACTTGTGCACACGCGAACACACATTTTCCGCGATTTGCCCGAAGCTTAAACTCTTCAAGTCTATCAAACACTAGCTTCAAATCCTCTAAGTGTTCATCAAATGAACTGGAAAGGACAATAATATCATCCAAGTACGCTAGAACTACTATAGTACCGCAATCTTTCTTCAATCCGTTCCGGAACCGGTCGATTAGCCGCTGGAATGTTGCTGGTGCATTTTTGAGGCCGAACGGCATGCGCGTGTAACGATATGTGCCAAAAGACGTCACAAAAGCAGTCTTGTCACGATCTGGTTCATGTAATTTCACCTGGTGGTAACCCGATCTCAAGTCAATGGTAGACATGTACGTTGTGCGTTTGGCGGCATGTAAGAGGTTATCTATGCGTGGAAGCGGATAAAAATCTGTCACAGTGACATGGTTTAGTTTTTGATAGTCAATACACAGGCGCATTTCGCCTGTCTTCTTGGGTACTGAAACTACAGGTGCGGCCCATGGACTCTCCCATTCTTCAATTATGCCTCCTTCTAGAAGGCGATCTAATTCCTCCTTGAGTAGAGTTTTTTTCTGAGGTGCCATACGGTACGGTGGCATGGCTATTAGCAAATGATCTTTTGTGTTGATGTAATGATTCGCAAAGGGGGTTGGTTCTCCCCCCACTTCAAAAATATTTCTACGACTTTCTAGTAAGGTATTTAACTTGCCTCTTTCTTCAGTGGTCAACATAGCGCCCTCATCAGGGCGTAGGGCGTCAACACAAGACATGGCCGCTTTTGATTGAATCTTGGGAGTCCAAGATTTTTCAAAGTCTAACCGATAAGCAATTTTCGGATCATCAGAAAAACTCCATTCCTGGGAGGCAGTATCCAGAATGATTTTTGCATCTTGTATGAAATCTATTCCGAATAATGTACGGGTCTGTGTATCTAGAAACACGATAAATTGCGTAAAATAACTTTATACTTAATATGAACATCTACAAGGGCGGTGAGAACGTCTTTGGAGTGGCATTGTCCATCGGCAAGCTTGACAGATATTCGCTCATTGAGAAATGCA